CCGGGCCGCAGTTCCGGGGCTCCGCGTCCTTCCCGGCCATCCTCACCCCCTGCCTTGCCCTCCCTGGCTCTGTTGCGCCGGGTGCTGCACAGTTTAATGGCTATTAGGTGTCTTACGGTAACACCCAGCTGCCCAGCCATGGACAGGACTCTGTTGCGCCGGGTGCTGCACAGTTTAATGGCTATTAGGTGTCTTACGGTAACACCCAGCTGCCCAGCCATGGACAGGACTCTGTTGCGCCGGGTGCTGCACAGTTTAATGGCTATTAGGTGTCTTACGGTAACACCCAGCTGCCCAGCCATGGACAGGACTCTGTTGCGCCGGGTGCTGCACAGTTTAATGGCTATTAGGTGTCTTACGGTAACACCCAGCTGCCCAGCCATGGACAGGACTCTGTTGCGCCGGGTGCTGCACAGTTTAATGGCTATTAGGTGTCTTACGGTAACACCCAGCTGCCCAGCCATGGACAGGACTCTGTTGCGCCGGGTGCTGCACAGTTTAATGGCTATTAGGTGTCTTACGGTAACACCCAGCTGCCCAGCCATGGACAGGACTCTGTTGCGCCGGGTGCTGCACAGTTTAATGGCTATTAGGTGTCTTACGGTAACACCCAGCTGCCCAGCCATGGACAGGACTCTGTTGCGCCGGGTGCTGCACAGTTTAATGGCTATTAGGTGTCTTACGGTAACACCCAGGTGCCTAGCCATGGACAGGACCCTGTTGCGCCGGGTGCTGTACAGTTTAGCTGCTATTAGGTGTATTATGGTAGCTCCCAGGTGCCTAGCCATGGACAGGGCCCCATTGCGCTAGGCGCTGTACACTTCAATGGCTATTTGGTGTATTACGGTAGTGCCCAGGCGCTGGGCGCTGTGGATGCACAGAACGAGAGGCAGAGGGCGGGGCGTGTTCCAGCTCACGGCGCCGGCGCCGGCTCCGGTCCCTCGAGGACAGGCCGGGGCCACACTCACGTGGGGTCGTTGGCGAGGTTCAGGAAGAGGCACACATTCGCCATGGAGCCGTTCTCCTCGAAGTCCGACTTGAAGAAGCGGGCGGTTTCCATGTTCACCTGGCAATGCCAGACAGAATGGGGCGGAGCTGAGCAGCATGGCCGGGCCCATTGCACAGATGGAGAAACTGAGGCCAGGGGGAGGGGCTGTGGCTTGCTCAGGGAGCCTCGGGGAGTCAGGGCAGAGCTGGGACTACCCCCCACGTGTCCTGAGTCCTGGTTTCTGGCGCTGATCCCACCTCGTCCGCGTAAGTCGCCTCCTGTTGTGCTTTTCCATCCCAGAGTCTCTCCTCTAGGGAGGCCAGTGCCGGCTCCCCCCGCTACCTCCACCCGCCCCCGGCCACCCGCC